GCACTACAAGCTTAAGTGGGCCCAAGCCACTCAAATGCCCGGGGCTTGCTTGAGTGGGTTGTGGTATGGATGGTAACAAGTTATCATGGGGCCCATCGATTGGGTCGAGAAATGGAAGTCTCGGGTCGCTTGGGGGCCTCGGGACTCAAGCCCATTTTTTAGGCCCAAACGTGGGTAAGCACAAGAGAGAAAGTAACCCATTGCCTCAACTAGAATAGCCCAACCAAAATAGCCCCATTGCTCCAACTAGAATAGCCCAACCAAAATAAGCCCATTGCCCCAATTAGAATAAACCAACTAAAAGGCCTAACACTTGATCAAAATATCACATCAATTGGATGAATCATGTGGTGGACTTAAAAAGCCTATGAAATTAGAATAAAAAGGCAGAATCAGACCTAGCACTCAGTTTGAAGACAAAACCACAAAGGAACGTTGGAAGTCCACACGTGAAGGGGCTGCTGGGAGGCTTGGGAGCAAGTTCCAAGCAAAAATCCTTCAAGGAACCAAAGAATATTAGCACGCAAGGAGGGATGCCATCTCTTAAACCAGCAGGCAAGGCCCAACACTTGATCAAAATATCACATCCATTGGATGAATCATGTGGTGGACTTAAAAAGCCTATGAAATTAGAATAAAAAGGCAGAATCAGACCTAGCACTCAGTTTGAAGACAAAACCACAAAGGAACGTTGGAAGTCCACACATGAAGGGGTTGCTGGGAGGCTTGGGAGCAAGTTCCAAGCAAAAATCCTTCAAGGAACCAAAGGATATTAGCACGCAAGGAGGGATGCAATCTCTTAAACCAGCAGGCGCACCCACTTTCTTTCCTTCATCAGATTTGGCCATGGAAGGGGGAAGAAAGAGGAGAAAGAAGATGGGTGAAAAGGGGAAGCTCCCTTCTGAGGCAGCCGCTGGAAGAAGCTTGGAGCACCCAAAACCTCTGATTTTGTGGGATTGGACAAGAGCTGGCCTTGCCACCATGAAGTAAGTCAGGAAAGAGGAGAAGAAAGAAGGAGGAAAGCTTAGCTAGATTGGGAAGAAACCATTAGGGTTTCTTGGAGAAGAACAAACCCCAGCAACTATAAATAGGGCCTCTTCTACCCAACACAACACACACTTCAGAGAGCAAGCTTCCTCTCCCTCACCTGCAAACTTAGTAATTTTCGTGCTTTTTGGGTCTATTACTCTTATTTCCCCCATTTTTCCCTTCTGGCAGGCTGCTCAGAGTCACTGCCAAGCTGCCGGAAGATATACTCAAGCCACCCATTTCTCTCTTTTCCCTCATTCTCAGCCAAACCTCTCTGCTAATTCTTCATTTCCTACCTAAATACCTATTTTCCCCTAAGAATACTCAGTTTTCTCCCATGCCATAATCTTCTCATGCAAAGCTAGAAGATTTATCTGTAATTTGTTGTTATTTTTATTGGTGAAGATAACCAAAATACTTCCTAAGGCCTTGCTGCCCTTTCGAAGCATTTTGGGGCTTAATTTTCGAACTCAGACACAAAGGGGCAATTTCACATATCTGCTCATCCTTTACAGCAGCCCAAGCCCATTCGTCTGGCTGCTGGAACAAAAAGACCCCCACACGAATTACAGATAAAAATAAAGGGCCGGTAGAAGCTTGCTTCCTCATGTACTAGGATTAGCAATTGCTGCATTATGAAATGCATGTTGTACTCTACTGTGCGTTTTTAGCCCTTAACCCTCTGTTTGGATGAGGGAAAATAACTCGGAATTTAGCTAAAAGTCGGGAATTTAAGATGAGAAATTGACAATTCCCTTGTTTGGCAATTTAAGCGCGGAATTTATTAAATGACGCCCGGAAAAAATCGTGGAAATTGAGACATCAAATTCCCGAGTTTAATTTCCATAGTGCGGGAATTCATATTTTCCGTTGTGCCAAAATTTAAATAAATAAAAAACACCAAAATTTTCATGAAAAAAAAAAAAACGCCAAACTTAAAAACAGCACCAAGTTTGGAGCTGACTGCCTTGTCGCTTTATAAACCTATGAAACCCTGAACAACAGATTCCCTTGTCGCTTTATAAAAAAAAGCTGCGAGCCAGAGAAGTAAGAAGCATCATAAAAAAGCTGTGAGCCAGAGAAGGAGAAGGAGTTCTTCTTGGGTTACACGTCTCTCTGGATCAAGTTTGAAGGTTAGTCTTCAAGCCTTTCTCTCCTTCAATTTATATTTCTATTTTAGGGTTACCATGGTTTCTGAATGACTATCAAAATTGGGTGTTTCTGAATAAATTTATGAATGTGTTGAATGGGTTTTGTGATCTTTGCATTTACTGATGCCTAAAGTCGCTTTTGTCATAGTGATGTCTTAATTCTTATCTACGTTTTACTTCAACTGCTGTAATAATCCTTCTGTGGTAAGAGCATTCTTAAGTGAGCAGCAAAGCAAAGCATGTAATAAGTACTAATGATGTTTCTTTAAGCTTGAACCATGAGTTTGCTTTCAGGAGATACTTTAGTACCATAGTTAAGTTTCAAACTCGTCAATTTGAGGATGTGGGATTTAACTAGACTATTCCCTTTTTAATGGTATCCATTTAAACCAGCAAAGGAAGTCGTGATTTACTCTGTAGTTGTTTTGTGTTTTTGTGTTTTTGTCTTCTCTGTTGTCTATATCATTTCCTACTCCGTAGTTATTTAATTCACACATATAAACAGGTATGGCTACTGTTAATATTGATAACATGTTAAAGAGGTTAAGACTGAAGCGTGCTATAGTGAAGAGACGGAAAATTATTGTCTGTACAATGATCTCTTTTATGGTTACGCTAGTACAATGGTATTATGATAATTTTCGTGTTAAAGAGCCTTCACATGATTGGGATGAAGAAAGGCAATCTTATTTGAACCGTATGTATAATGGAAAAGAAGTTGATTGTATTGATCAATTTCGAATTAGCAAAAGTACGTTCAAAAAGTTATGCAGAATTTTAGAAGAAAATGGTGGGTTGGTTCGAACAAGAAATATTTCAATTGAAGAATCCGTAGCAATATTTTTGAAAATAATTGCTCACACCTTGAAATACAGAGTCATTGGTTTTGACTATTACCGTTCAATCGAAACATTTAGTCGGCAATTTAACAGAGTCTTATATGCCGTGATGAGAATTAGTGAAGAATACATAAAATTCCAGCCAAGTACTGTTGGGAGTTCTAAAAGAAGCAAATGGCAATGGTTTGAGGTACTTATCTAAAGTTTCATACTTATACTTTTTTATTTTATTTTTCAACTAGTTATCTTAAGTTTCATACTTATACTTTTGTATATTTCATGTTTAGAATTGTCTTGGGGCACTTGATAGAACTCACATTCCGGTAACAGTGTCGGCAAAAGAAAGACCAAGATATCGAAATAGGAAGGGCGATCTCTCCACTAATGTTTTAGGCGTTTGTGCTCCAGATTTAAGATTTATTTATGTATTACCTGGATGGGAGGGCTCCGCATCTGATGCTCATATATTGCGAGATGCTTTACGTAGGAACAACCGATTTCATGTTGCAAGAGGTAAGTTATAATACTAGTTTTAAATTAGATTGATATTCTTTCCTCCTTTTTTTTCAATACAAGCTAGCTCTTTATATCTAATTTGCTTTTTAAAATTTCTTATTGTAGATAAGTGCTATCTTGTGGATGTACCGGGAAGAATACGTGAAGGTAAATATATTAAAAGTTATTATTTTTTTTAAAATCATGTGCTTTTTTTTTCTTTTTGTTGTTAAAGAGTACTTATAAGATTCTTATTTGACTTTGATTATTTGTTTGGTAGTCTCATGACGATGCTAGAGGTTTTCGATTTAAAGTTATAGAAACTTGGGATGATATAGTAGATTTGTGTGGCAAAGATAGAGCCACTGGAGAGGGCGCTGAAACAGGTGCAGATGCAACTGAGGTTATGACTCCTCCTAATGAAGTTGATCATGTTGATTTGGATGGTGATACACAAGATTTAGAAGATATTCATGTTATTGATGATATTTCACCAACCTCAACAAATGGTTAAAAGAGAAAAAATCATGCATCAAATTCTTTTGGTATTCTTCCTACAAAGAAAAGAGGTGCTGTCAAAGATGTTATTGCTGATTCAATTGCTAGAATGGCTTTATCATTTGAAGAGTTTATCCGTGCTGATACTAAGAACCTTGATCCAACAGATGTATATGATGAAGTACAAGCAGTACCAGGTCTTAGTGAAAATGAACAACTCAAAGCATGTGCTTGGCTGATAGAAAATGACAAACAATTTCAGATGCTGAAGGCACTCCCAACTGAGAAAAAAAAGAGTATGTTGCTGATGTTTATTGCACGTGGGGAGTGATTTGGTTTGGTAATATGCTCTGTTTGTTTAAGTTGAGTTATTTAGTTCATCAAACAATATGTTATTTTATACTTCGAGGAATACCTTCTATGTCGGTTATCAGTTTTTTTGTTCTTTTGAAATATTTAATTTCTGTCATTTATAATTTACATGAGCTATCCAAACATTGAAATTTTCAATTTCTGTCATTTACAAAATCCGGCATACATAAATCCAAACACTGAAATCTTCAATTGCCATAAATTGAAATGACGGAAATCTAAATTTCGTCATTTTAGAATTCTATGTAATTTGCAATTCTTTCATCCAATCGGATGGTATTGGTATTGTTTGTTTTATTTAGGCCGGGCACGGTTCAGGTCGGGTCAAATTTTGTGTGACCCATGGGCCGAACCAAGTAAGACATCGGTTCTTGGGTCGAGTCGGGTCTAAACTCAAAGCTGAAAATGAGCCGACCCTATAGGCTCTGGTTCGGTTTTGGTTTTTCGGTCAGTTTTGAGCTTTTGCCCAATACTAGTTTTTTGAGCCCAAATCACTTTTTGGTCAAAATCTTTTTTTTTTTTCGTTCTGTCAAATTGCCAAAACCTAATCAGTATTAATAGGCCCAAATCAATTTTTTCTACTCTTTCAAATGCTGAAATCATGCAAATTCAAGTATAATCCATAAAAATATTCATTATTCAAAGCTAAGTTTCTAAACAATTAAATCAATCACAAATTCACACAATCATCAACCAACCAAGGAAGTAGAACGACTTACAAACCATCACAAAAAAATACACACAAATAAAGCAAGAAATCCAAATTATAATGATTACAACCCATCACAAAATTATAACAAATATCCTTCCAAGACATCTGCATCCATCCATCCAAAAGCCTTGACAAAGCAACCCGCATTCATCTGTCAAAAAATACACTTGTATCAGTCAACAATCAATCACCAAACATATAATTTCAGTAAAAATAGAAATAAATTGTTTGCTCATCTTCAAAACCTTTCAAAGTTTAACAAACGAACATGTCAAAAATCATGAACTACTACTCTTGAATAAGAAATAGATAAACAACTAAATTACATAACCTCATATTAGAGCTTTATAAAAGTAAACATAGGCACTAGAGGAATTATTAGAGCTTTATGCCCACCCCTAGTTTTATTCGTCCAAAAATAAAAATTGTGTGTTTTATTATGTATCATGAAATGCATGTTTTATTCTGCTTTGTGCGCTTTTAGCCTTTCAGGCACAGTTCTTACTCCACGACAACTACTACTACTTGATGCACCAAAGACACTAATCTCTGCTAAGGACTGATGAGGCACTGAAGAATAGCCATCATCATCGGTGATGCTCGATTAAAATCTTCTTTTTCTGATTGTTGAAGCCAAAAACTGGTTCACAAGCTTTAAGGGCCAACTTAGTAATTTTATGCCTTCGGTATCCTTGTGGTCTCGGTATGGAGAGCAATCTGCAAAAGTAGCAAACGCTCGGTAAGACCTTGGGCACCGGTATGGTACCGGCCGAAGGCTCTCCGATGCTTAAGTAAGTTCGGGATTAGAAAGTTCAACTGACAGATCAATAGGCTTGTATACCGTAAGTTCTGATTACCTCTGTTTCGGGGTAATTGGCCTCTTTTATAGGCCTTGGGAGATGTGCACTTTGTTGATAATTTCGATGTGGGACTGTGGACGTCGCTTGGGAGCATGCCACGTGTCCCAGGGGAGTGTGTTGCCCTAATGGACGTCGCTTACAAGCAACTCACATACCTATCTCGGCAACACAAAACTAGGTCTCAAGAAAGTTGAAGACTCAGATGAGGTATATATGGCCTATCTTTCCCTCAATGCGGTGGGCTCGTTATGTCTCTTGGGTGAAAGATAACTTATTTACATGCAATTGCTTCTGTAGCCTACAACCCTAATGAAAATGAAGATTGGTGAAAATTCTAACACATTGCTATTGGCTTCAGAACTGCCACCCTCTATGGAAATTTAATTCACAAAAGTTGACACAGTGTTTATGACTGGAATTGTCCTAATGCAAGGTCTGATTGTTTGCTTCAAATTCAGATTGGTTTCTTAGCTGTGCCTACTTATGCAGATGAACAAGATTCTATAATTTGGTTTTTTTTTTTCTTTTTTTTTTTCACTTAATCACACTTGAATTCTCTAATTCAAAAATAATAAAAATAAAAAATGAAACCTGAATTGATCAAATAAATAGATAAATGAGCAACTCACTAACACAGAGCCTCTCTTGCTAAACAATAAGAATTCATAATCACCAAGTTTAAAATTAATCAAAGATTACGTATTTAATGTAACAGAGCAAGAACACATTGACCTTTCCGAAACTGCCTTTTTCCTCACATTCCGGACACAAAATGCCGGATGTCCTCAAGAATGTCGCGACCCTGGCAAGGACTATCTTGTATTTTCACGTACCCTTTGGCCTCCTTCTCCGTGTACTCACTCAAACCCGCCTTCCCATTTCTCTCCCACATCGCAGGCCCAAAGCTTCTGTGCGCGTAATACGCCTGAGCCTCCACCAAAACGACCTCGTCGCCGTCGGCCTGGAGCACGTCAACAGGGAGGCGCTCGTAGTGCTCGATGCTCGTGCCCTCCAACTCGTCGAATCGGGCGAGTCCTCGGGTCGAGACGGAGTAGAGCTCGCCCTTGATCCGGTGACCCGACCCGGGGAGGTTGATCAGGTAGGGGATTCCGTAGGGTCCACAGACGAGCGGGTAAGAATGGCGGGTGATGTAGGGGCCTAATAAAACGGCGTCGTCGTGATTGATGAGGTCCTGCGTTAGCTTGTGGTTGGGGAAGCCTTGTTTGAGTGTGCCGTAGGCGAAGATTAGATGGGGTTTGGCGTCGTCCTTCAAACCTTCAGCCATTGGAGCGCAGAGAGAGGAAAAACTGCAAAATGAATCAATTTATGGGAACGACTTTTGTTCTATTTTATTTGTTTTATTAGAATTCAGAATTGTTCGAGCAAGAAAAGGGATTTCAGAGTAAGGCCCAGTTCAAATCCAATATCACAAAAAAAACCCACCAGACTGGGCCTCCTCGTCTAACTAACTAAGCCCTGGCAAAAGAGATGGTCCAATTCCAACATTATTGAGATTTTTTTATAGAAAATTTAGATTCAATATTAACAAGGGGTTTTTTTTTTTTTTTTTTTGGCTTAAATGCAAAAATGATCCATGTGTTTTACCACGTTGGTCAATGTAGTCCATGTGTTTTCAATTTGGCCAATTTGATCTTTGTGTTTAGGATCGTTAGCCAAT